TTTATTTGGCAGCCGACGAGAAGAGCTCCTCGTCGTCGTCCTCATAATAAAATAACGGACAGATTTTGAGAAGGGGAATTCATCCGAAAGTCGACCAAACGCCCAAAAACGCATCCAACACAACAACCTTAAACCGTGATCAGTCGCCTCGTTTTGATGCAACTTGCATGCTGGCGATCATCCATCTATCTCCTCGCCATTTACCATTTACCACTTGCCCGACCATGTGCCCTCCGAGTAGTCGGTGGATTAGGAGGCGGATTATGACGAAAATTTTGGCACATTGATCCCCCTTTCATGGTTACCAGGTCAAGTTTTAGTCACCTTAATAAAATCTAGTGGCATAAAAAGGAATGGTAAAAATTTATTTAAGCGATATGATTTTGTCTCAAGAAAAAATGGAGGGTGGGATATCTTTTTCTAAAAATATTTTGTACACGAGCCGAATTCTTGGCTACTTTCACCGCACGACGACGACTTTCTCTACTTTTCTTGTTCGGAACTTATTGGTCCTCCGTGGTGGTGGTGGTGTTGGTCTGGCCTGGTGACTAGAAAGCATGGGCCGAGTGAGTGAAGGGACGATGCGCAGTAGTAGTCGAAGAATTAGATTCGTTTCGTGAGAATTTCGGTCTCTTTTGTGGTTCTGGACGGGAATGTGGATGGAGGTGATAGTCCAAATGGGATTGAACGGGACTCTACGATACGACGACGACGACGACTTTACCTTCCTTTGCAGAGAGCAATACTACTATTTGTCTGTCTATATAGGCGACACAGTCCAACCACCATTTTAGACGCTTTTCTTGGTTGGGTCTACCGTGCTTGGGAGGAGTGGCCATTCTCAGAGTGACACTCTTGGCTGGAGGAAAGAAATCAAATGCGAGAAAATTCTCGTAATGTTAAAAAGAAATGATAATATGTTATCTAACTTTTGAAATTTATGACTGCAAAATCATTGTTAAATAGACGCAATTTCGGATGCATTGTCGTCATTCCGTCCAATTTTGTATCCAATTTTTGTCCAAAGCTTGTACTTTAATTCTTGCCTCTAATCGAATAAAAAGCATCATTTTCCTTTATGCCACTGGAGACCGAGTGTAAAATCATTTGAATGTAAAACAGGTGAGGTTTAAACTCACATCTTATTATGGTTAAAAGGGTATGATTTGCAAGTTCGTAATGGAAAAATGAGGAATCGGGGAAGAAATGGGTAGACGAAGCGTAGCTAAATGAAAACGAGAAAGATTTGTAAAAATCAATTCTTGTAATAGACGCCTGGGGGTGATGTCGGGTGGAAACGAGGACGACGACTACACCACATTTAAGTATGTACCACACTACTCTGCATATTATTTACTACACCGCGTTTGTTTGTACCCTCTCTCTGCTGAATGCATTCGGTAAATTGTGATTGTGACAAATCAGAAATTGACTGTTGTCAAAACACCCTTTCTTGCGTCTTCTGGAAAACAAAATGAAATTCAAACCCTTTTCATCACAGACAAAACATCGAAGGAGGAAAAATACCGCGGCACAACCACGATGATTTGCTATCATTGCTGCTTTTGGTTGGAATGCAAATTCGAATTGCATCACTGCCACTGTTTCTTTTCTTTGCCACGGTGTTGAATTGCTGATGTGTCGATATTTTCAAATAAAGTTTAAATTGAGTGTGACGGATTTATGAGAACACTGGGCTTCCATTTTCCTACAACTGTTCATCTCTTTGCGACTCATGCTCTTAAAAAATCTAAAATTTTACGTCCATCTCCTCCATTTTTATCCGATTTGGTTTTTCTTCTTCTCACCGTCGTCGTCTCTTCCTTTATGCAAGAACAAGTCGGCGTGACTCTCCATCACAGCAGTCTCACTGTGAATAATACCTCCGACTAAATAATAATCTATTGAATAAACTCGTTTTACACAGAGTTTGGTGACGACGACCAAATATTGTTTAACAGAGTCAAATAAATAATGCAAGAGTTAAGACATGAAGAAACACAATAGATTAGTCATTCAATAGCAAGTATTCCTTCGTTTGTCATACAGAGAAGGTAATGCATAAACCTTGACGAATAAATAACGTAAATTGTTGTTATTAACAATTGTAATCTTGTTGTTGGAATTGAATTGGCAATGTGACTTTCGAGTCGGGGGATAAATATCTACACACAAATTATTAAGATTTGGTCGGAGAAAGGTTTGGAAGTTGTTGTGCGGACGGAATGAGATGTGATGAATAATAAATCATTAGGAGAAGTGGGCTGCATATTTGTGCTCACAGGATAGGAATTAAATCTGGAGATTAGATTTATTAGAACACCCTCCATACCCAAATAACCTGAAGGAGCTGCACAATTACAGATTTTAGATGGGACTCTTGAATGGTGAATGGCAGCAGGAAAAGGCAACAAGCGACTGGGAAACTGCGATTAAGTCCTGAACAAATAGTCAGTCCGAGAGCCAGGCAAAATATGTGTACAAGAATCCACTCCGAGGAGACCATGGGTTGGACGGACGATGATGATAATGGGAATCTAAACAGCTAAACCAGTAATCACTTGTTGATCCGAAATGATTAACTATTGATCAAGTTGAGCAATAATAATAAATGCTTTGAGAAATCATGTGGTATTATTACTATTATTAAATATTTGACGTTTTTCTCGTAATAAAGGCAACCCACTTTCCCCCCAGTCCATGCATTTAGGAAGGGAATGAAGTAATGTGTTTTAAGCCGGTCGATAATTTTTCCTCTTAACTTTTCCATCCACATAAATTAATATGATCTCGAATCTTCAAGTCAAAAGTAAGACGGTAAAATTATCCACCTCTGGGCAGAATATATAATTCCGCGTTGTTGGTACAAATTGGAATGGGTTTTGATATAGTTTGCTCATTCATTCACATCAAGTGTTTCTTTCCACATGTGTGTATGGAAAGCAGTCACTCAAAAACATGTGCAACTTTTTATTGATTTTCCAAGACTTTTAAGTAAAACCTGCTTAATTATATGCTTTTGGAAGACACAATGTCCAATTTCACACTGACAGTTACAATTTATTACATGCCCGGCAGATTAGATTTCTGCGTATTTACAAATAACTCGGCTTCAATCAGTGAATAACTTGATCTGTAGAAATTAATCTCAGATTGAGTTAGTAGACGTTCTGATGAAATGCATAAAAGTGACCAAACTGATTAAGTTGTTCCGCATCCAACAACTAGACACACAAAACGACTGATATCTATGTGTATATATTCGCTCGTAATTAACGTCTCTCCAAATTTATTATTATTACAGTGTTGGTCAGATAATTTTCAAGTTTACTTCAATTCAGGCAATAATTTGGCATATAAGGTTATTCGCGACGAGGTGGAGGAGAAAAAAACGATTACTTGCAACAAGGTTGCACTGTGTATTTGTCATTATGTATGTATTTATATTTAATTGCATAAAATAACTCTTTTACTTTCCGCCTTTATCATTTTTGATCATTTCTGAACCATAGTAATTTTCATAACGAAAATATCAGCCTGACACGTTATATTACGAATTCAATGTTTGCCTCACCTCAAACGAAACGTGCTTCGCCGGTTGAAATCACTTTAATCTCTCCAATATAATATGTCATTGATTTATTTGTGTACATTTACTACTTTTTTTCATACATACCAAATCCGTGGCTGGCTGTCGTCCCCGTAAAGTTACGACATTTACTTGTACGACTAATATCTTGAGTCAATATTGAATTTATATTGGAGGCGAGAACAGTTAATTCTTTTATTGAGGGCAACACCATCTCATTCGTATTATAATCATAAGAATTTCGCCACTCGATTTACCTGTGACACCAAAAAGGCAGTAAATCATAATAAATGTCCGTCCACTACACAGAAAATTGGGAGATATCGCAAATAATTGGATAATTTGATTCCCAAGAACAAAAAAACGGATGACACAAGCAACAAGAGCGGCGGCGACGGAGGATGGTGTCAAAAGCCATGAAGTCCAGCCAACCATAATCCGGAACATCATGTCCAACAAGAACTACTACTACCGAAGAGCATCAATTGAGTTGTGTCATCATCTCTCATACCACCACAACACACAAGGTTCAATCTCAGTGCATGGTTACACACATAGCCCAGGCCCAATCACTTACTAGCTCATGGGATGATGAAGACGAGAGCGAAAAGGTTATTCAATCAGCTATCAAACCAATATCATCCAGCCAGCTCTGCTTCATAACAAGCACGTGGAAACCATGCTGCTAGAAATATGTGCATAAAGTGGGAGAAAGTATTTTGACGCTGGGTTGCAAATTATGAGGGTGTTTACTTGAATGAAATTGAATTTCAATTTGAACCTCCAAACCTCCCGTCGTGCGCGAGTGAGTGAACCAACGCTAGGAAGGGAAATGTAATTGAGTCGAAAATAAGGGCAGATTCGCACATGCAAATAATAATTTAAAGAGACCCGTCAATAAGCAGTAATGTGATACCCGTAGCCCTGGATTTCATTAAGAATCCCCGACACATAATGAGCCTTATCATCATTTTGTACATTACAAATTATGACAGCACAAGTGGTGAGAATAATGGAATCAGAGTCAGATTGCGGAATATTTTTTTTTTGCAGGGAAGCCGTGGAGGCGTCGAGTCAGAAAAAGTAATGAGTATTGCGAAATAAAAAGTAGGAGGATGGGGAAGCATGTTATAATTTAAAGTAAAACTGGTCGTCGTGAGACTAATAATATAGTAGCTGTCAGCCTTCGAAGAAATCCAAGTGGAGGTATTTGCATTGGTCGGGAGTGGGAACGGTGGTGGCGAGATAATAATAATTTTGAGTGCGAGTGTATTATTGGATTGAGAGGAGGGGAGGAGTAAAGACGAAGCATCAATGTTGTTGTGGGGAGATTGAGAGAAAGATTGAGACGGATTTGCACAAGCAAGCCAGGCTGGTTGAAGATATTGAAGAAGACGAAGAAGAAGAAGTACGGAATTCTGGTGCTGGAATGGATGGAGTGGATGGAGGAGCAGTTTAAGAGAGGAGAGGACAGATCAGTCAAGAATCCGCCTTCAATTGTGATGTGTAATTTTCAACTTTTTGTCATCGCTTTTTTGGTGTTGTTCTCAGTGTGCTTCACCAATGGAGCTAAATCGAGGCGTTACGAGGAGGAAAACGAACCAATGAGTCTTCGGGTTGCGCAGCAAAGGATTTGACTTCACTCACAGATCTCATTCCAGTCCAATTCAACTCCAATTCGATTGTTGTTCCTTTGTTCGTACTCCACACTCCTCGATCCTCTCGCCGTACCCACACCACCACCACCACCACCACCGACGACGACGACGACGACGAAGGAAACCTCTGCCCAGGCCCTTTCGAATCACCACTTCAACCCTTCGCCTCCTCCACGGCAACATTTACTCTCGAACTCTTCCTTGCACCCTCTCCTCTTATCTTTCCAGAAACATTCTCTTGTCTCCCATCCAACCACTCGACGCAATTTACTTACTCTCCGGCACACGCACTTCCATACAACTTCCGGTGTCCGAACCAGTGATATTTATCCGCTAATACTTTTGCGACAAGAGAACAACTCTTTTTAAAACCCAACCCCTGTCAAAAACCAAGCAACAAACGGTGTCCGGTGTGTATACATATGTGAATCATGTGCTCGTTCTGCAGGTGATAGAAGGAGAGGAAAAAACTAGTAAATCCTGTTGATCAGTGGTCAGTTACTGGTGAGAAAGAGTGCAAGGATATTATTACGATTGTATCAAAGTGCCCCAATTTCGTAACATTTGTAGCTACGTGAAAACGTGAGTAGGGGTGAGAAAGAGATTTTCCAAGATTTCCGAGTTTCACTTCTACCCTTGGTGGTCGTCTCATAAGAGAACTTATTCTTGTTCCAAACAATTTGCTGGCTAGTTTTTGCCATCGTGCGTGACAGATATTTTGAGACTTGTGTGTGACATACTCATCATCATTCGTTGCCTCATTGAAGTTAGTTGTCCTGTCCAGTGCGTGGTGAAGGGGACAGTGACACCACGAGGACCCACCACGAGAAAAGTTCAATGTTGATGAAAATAGACCAAATGGAGTCAGGAGGGTCGAGTGGAGAAGATGTGACATCTCCAACCTCCCGAGGCTCACTTTCTCCCCTCCCCCTCAACCGGGGGTCGTCGATGAAACAGCCCTACAGTCCCCCCATGGACAGAGGGTCCCCCCTCTGTCCGCCCAAATCTCTCGCTGCACAACACATGATGAACTCAATTGTTGTCTCCTCCGCCAAAAATATGACGCCTGGAATTCTCGCCAGTCTCAACGCCCTTAACGCCATGAGCACCGCTGCCGCAGCCGCCTCCTTTCACCACCACGACTTTGGGGGGAACAATTCCTACGGGGACAGAGGCTTAGATCGCCACCCGTACGGCAGCCCACCCGCCCCCATGGCTCCGACGAATGACCCCAGTGCAAACGAGTGCAAATTGGTGGAGTACAGGGGTCAAAAGGTTGCCGCCTTCGTTATCAATGGGGACACGATGCTCTGTCTACCGCAAGCATTCGAACTGTTTTTAAAGCATTTGGTTGGAGGGTTGCACACAGTGTACACCAAATTGAAAAGACTGGACATTGTCCCATTAGTTTGCAATGTGGAGCAGGTTCGGATCCTCAGAGGACTTGGGGCCATTCAACCCGGTGTCAATAGATGCAAACTCCTCTCGTGCAAAGACTTTGATATTCTCTACAAAGACTGCACCACAGCCAGGTATTGTCTTATCCATCACTTTAGATTACAATTGGCCAACTGCACACTCAGCTCTGATTTTGCGACAAATTTGACAAATTCATGTAAAAAATCGATTAATTATGCATTGATTTACTTGTAAAAAAATTAATGATTCGCAATGAATTTATAATACAATCTTACGTAAGAGCGGTACTTATGTATTGCTAATTATTGTGCGCAATAGTTCACGATTTTGTCATGATTGATTCGACTCAAGCGTTGCATGAGATTGGGGTTGGAAATTCCACGGTCGTGAAAATTCCTATTCCAAAATCACATTTCATCCCTGATTTAATCTTAATAACAGATAACAATATGACAATTTGTTAAATTGAAGGACTGTTTTTATCAACATTTGCATAATAGTCACAAACACTTTGTCACCACCATGCACTGAAATATGTGTGCACTAATTATTATAAATACGTAAGTACTTATGTACCTGTCGTATTTATGTTTTTGGACAAATGACAATCCACAAATGTACAAGTGGCCACGATGTAAATGTGACGAAAGTCAATGACGAAAGATAAAAATTGTCCAGATAATTCGTGGGAACAGGTCATTAAGATGAGGGATGGTTTTCAAGCCCTGGAGCATCAATTATACACCATAGTCGTCGTTCATCAAAAACAACCAGCCAAAACCAACCCTGTCCTTCCACTATTTTCTGTCATGCATAATACACAAGAAAAAAACTACTGCTGCTGCCTATATGCTGTAGCTCATACATTATTAGTTCATTCTGCCTGAGAAGTTGCCCTATTTTTGCAAATGAGAATTATACACAAAGTGCCAAAATATTTATGGGCGTAAATTTTTATTATATTTTATGTTACGTTTTAAACAACTAATTGTAAGTGTCAGTTAAAATTGTGCAAAAACGAAACATTTACCTTTTGATTATTATCTACCGTATTTATGCATCAAAGAAGGAAATTTATGGGTCGTAAACCACTTTGTCTGTAATTTATCGACTATTTGATCAATTTATTAGTAAAAAATTCTCAAGAACCTTGAAAACGATCGCATTTTAATTGTAATGTGAACTCATAACTCACCCCCACCCAAGTTTACATCTAAACGATAATTGCGACTGGTTAATCACGGTGTGAAAACATTCATTAGATTGTCTACCAAAGTGAATATGCATGCATGTACATCTTGCTGATGGCGTGTGTACAGCAATTCCGCAAAAAAATGAGAGCTGCTCGTTCAAAATCTCAAACAAACCAAACCATCATCATTAAAATATTTATATTCTCCTTTTCATGTTTGACATGGCATTCAGAAACAGATGAGCCATATGTGAAATGTTTCCAGGAATTAGCAACCCGTTTGCTTTCCCTGTATCGTAGGCAGACCCCATCCATATGCAGATGAAATAAGTACACACGCAGAGAGTGACACTTTATTATTATTATTGTTTGACGAAGTGTGGCAGCCACTGATACACAAAAGTAGACAAATTGAGTAGGTGTCGAAACCTTTATTTTTCTTTCAATAAACACAAATCTACAGTCGAATCAGTGGTGTTGGCAGGATAAAAAATTTCACTTCTTACGTATTCCTTCTTCCGTTCTGCTGCTCAATCTCAAACTACTTGATCTGCTTTCCGTCAACTATTATACAAATGTATGTTTTAGTGATGGCAGAGAAAAATATGTACAAGTGTTGCTTTTACCATTGATCCTCGTTCATAATTCACTTTATATACGTGCACAGACAAACTGATGACTACATATATGGGTAGAAAATATGTGAAATTTTGAACCGACTTGACTCACATCCACAATTACGGATCATACATAACCACACACCAACAACTGCGACATTAAATCATTCCATGAGGTCAAATGAAGAGCAATTTTCCTGTCTTTCACTTTATCATTTGCTGTAAACGCTTAAAGGTTTAATGGTTCGGGTGAGGTGAGGATGTAAGCATTTATTCGATTTAGAATGTTCCTACATGAAAATCCGTGGTGGGTTTGGCTATCTATTTCAACCCTCAGCCAGGTTTAAAGTCATTGTGATTATGTGAGTGAGTGAGTTGATTTGGAAATTGGGATTCGTTTTGCTGGAACTCTGTATTTATCTCCAACAGCCCAACCTACGACTTAATTTGCTGCTATCTTGTGCTCACTCACGATGATGGCAGAGGGCTGCCTGGTTTTTACCTGACCCTAACCTGTGATTTCCGGGGGTGAAACAATGTGTGAACTTGTTTGTGAGACTATCTTTCCTCTCATCTACACATAACATACTTGAAGGAAATTGCCCATGCTCACACTCACTCACTTTCTGCTACACACGTATAAAATATGTATGTACATCATGTTGTGATGATATGATACTCGGACACCACGAACGGAAAGAGGCTGTTAGCCGGGACTTTCTGCACACCTCAAAGAAGCCACGTATGTAGCATGCTAAATATGCATGGAGCTATGTACATATATACATACATACATATCTTGTAAGGATATATGTACCTTGCTAAATCTTGGATAGAATTATATATACGGATTTACCTAAATATTTAGTATGCACACACGCAGGGAGCAGTAGTGAGAACATACGAATCCATCCAAGTAGTTGTTCTGCACCTCCTTTGTTATCGGATGATTTGTGCCAATGTGTGTGTGTAATTGTGGTGAGGAAGATGGGTGGACATAAATAACATGACAGATTTAATTAGACCTCACTCCGGTATTTCTAATTATATATGGAGCACGTTGCGAAATAATTCCTCGCTTGGTTGATGGGAAACACATTTCCGCCCCTTTCTGTACTAAATTAATCGTTAGCAAATTATCCTTATCGCCCAATTGCATCCAATTGTTTTAAACCTTAAACGTTTCTTCACCTTGAGTGGATGCATTGTCTTAATTTATCTTATTTCACTCGTTGAAATTTTCTAATTTAATGTGTATCCGGACGATTTTAAGCATATCCTCACAAATTTCTTCTCATTTCTTTCCTTATCAAAGTCTTGTGAATTTCTTGATTTGATGCCTCGTAGCCTCAGGTAAAGGTTCGTATTGTATTATTATACAGCTGGATGGATGGATGTGGTGCATATGTACGTAGTTCTGAAATAGTACTCCGCACATAAGAATACCCAAACTGAACCAACAATATAATGGGAAATGGAATCACATTTCATGAAATTATGGATTGTTTGAGAGAGAGACCAAAGAAACAGAAACAGTTTATCTTCGTGGATGAGGAGTTCCACCACGGTACATGCATGGATGGAGAAAGAGTTGGTGCGGTAGATGCATACGTACGTCGTCATCTTCTTCTTTTTCCGTGGTCTGTCCTCTGCCTCTTTTTGTAATTGGATATGATTTAGAAAATAGATATAAATTGTCCGAGAGACCTGAAGGAGGAGGAGGAGGAGGAGGGTAACAGGTAGAAATATATCGTGGAGGTGGAAGCGATTTGAAACAGAATTGCGTGAGTTATGTGACCATGCAGGCGAACCACCGCATAGTGCTTTCCCTGCTGGGAGCAATGTAACAGGATCCATACTTAAGGATCCAGAGACGAGCCAGGTAGATCGGTCGTGGTGGGAAGTTGAGAATTGTGTACAGAACCAGAGACGGGTAGATATACGAGTTTGTGAAATGTCATAATATTAGAGCAGAGTCCAGCCATATGGAAAAAGATCAAAAAGGCGGAAATTATGGAAAGTGACGTTCTAGGTTAGGTTGGAATTGGGCTGGGAGATGTGGAAAGGGATGTTTTTTTGGGGGATGCGGGTGCGACTCTGTTGTTTCGAGAACTCACTGAAATCAAACCCAAAAGTAAGTTGGGCTGTTCTCTCAGTTCAACTGTTTTAATTTTCTTTTGATTTCGCTTCTGTCTTGGATTGGAAAGAGTTTCAATATTAGGCAACGCACATTAGAGAAAAAGAAGCCATTTGAGAAGAAAAAGGATATGAAATAAAACGAACAAAAGATCTATTCATCCATGAAGGGTGGATGAATTTTCTACTCACTTGCTCATCTCTCTCTCTCTCTCTGGGACGGAATTTAAGGTTTGGAGTTCAGAGATAATTATACTTGTTGAAGAAGGCCGAGTCAAGTAAATGGAAAAATGTAGCCACTAAACAAGAAATTCCACGTTCAGGAAAACCGATGATCTTCCAGCCAGGCAGAAGTGTTCAGCCTACGGGAAAAAACGCGAGGCAAATGAAGGAGAGATTACTTACATACATGAGCAGCCTGCTCACCGTACAAAACCATTTCAATTTCAATCGACAACTCGATTTCGCAGCAAAACAACAACAACTGGCAACTTGCTCCTAGCTTGCCTCCCCGCATTCCTGATGTCATTGATAATGGTTCACAATAATCAAATCTTCCTCCTCATCCTCCTCCTCTTCATCTGTTTGGTGGACCATTTCTGAGCTCTGCTGCTGACCGATGAGTTCACTTTTCAATTTAATTGCAACTTGCGGAAATCTGGCATGATTTTGGGACTACGTATTTATGACCGCAGATATGACCTGCTGTCGTTGTTCCCCTTTGATATGTCATTATGATTACACACAGCAGACAGGAATCATCATCATCATCTCCGAGTGTGGACGTGTAGGTGATAATTATTATTATTCGAGACAAGATTGCTACACACGTAGGACTGCATACGAACGAATCTCCCATTGTCCAAACCCTCATGTCACTTCATCATTCGTGAAAATGATGGGCAAAATTCTTGGGGCTAAAATAATAAGCGAAGTAAAATATGTACGTCTGGGGATGGTATCGGACACCGTTTTGGCCACGTAGTCCTATTAAGGCAAATAAATTCTCATGTGATGCGATTAATTGCCTTAAAAGCCTCCATATACCTACGTACATATGCATATACGAGTACAACCCATAATCCCATCCTGATGCTTGATCTTAGGTCAGGTGCGCATGCATAACAAGTGCGAGAGGATTTATCGAGTTTTTGGAAATGAAGCATGT